TGTGGTCTGCCACAAAGGCATGTCCTTCAGAGGACAGCAGGACAGAGCATTTGAAAGCAGGACGCTGGCCTGGGAAAGCCAGGAGGGAGCGTCTCCTAAGTTTCCTTCCCCTGTGTCTGGGGGCTTCCCGAGAGTCTGCCGTACCCCAGGAGTGTCCAAAGAAGCCATTCCTACACGTCAGGGCTACCTTCTCACCCCGCTGCAGGCTCTCAGGTACACCTCAGCCTTGTTTCCTAAGAAGCCCCTCGGGCGGGCAGAGGGGCCCCCCAGCCACCATTACCTCTCTGCCTCTCTGGGAAATCTCCAGGGGCCTGAGCGAGCCCGGCCCTCCTCCAAAAGGGGAAGCCACAATGCCACCCGTGCCCTCCTTCAAACCACAGGAATATCAGCTATTGGCAAAGGCGAGAACCTCACTCTCACTCAAAGGTCTAAGTACATTTTATAACCAAACTTTGCCCCCTAAATATTCTTTGTTTCAGGCACCACTTCCCTACCTACCCTTCACCAAGAGGTAAGTAAAGTAACCCCAAATCACACCTAACCAGAGGGGCGATGGTCCCTTCAGGAGACACTATGATCAGGGCCTAATTGCTCTAAGTGAGCTCAGCGACTGAGCCCGTCTGAGAAGCTGAGCAGCCTGGGGAAGTGGGGAGAGGCCGACATTGCCTCAGAGCGAGCGGCTGTCTTTCAGGGCAGGTGCAGCCTCCAAAAGGTCTGTTCTGTTACTGAAATATGCGGAAGTCTTGACCAGGCCCAGCTCACGTGTGTCATCCCGAGGTCTCCCACACTTCTTCCCAACCAGGTGATAGCCAGGACCTGGCCTGTCTTGCCCAGGGTCATGCTGGGTCAGCAGGAAGGAGTGAACACCAGTATTTTGCAAATACCAAGTTTAACAGATATCAACTCATTTCATCCTCACAGCCATCCTGATGGGTTAGGTATTATTAACCCTATATTACTGATGAGGAAACGCAGGCTCAGAGATGTTAAGTAACTGGCTCAAGGTCACCCAGCCAGCCAGAGTCTGAATTGAAGCCCAGGGGCCAGATAACTGCACTTTCTCACACAGCAGTGAACCTAACCACCAGGAGGCTAGAGGGTGACCTTCTGCAGAGGGAAGCCAGCTGGGACTGCCCTCCCACGGCCAGGGCTGACCTGTGAGCCGACAAGAAGCCGATGTGCGGTTCTCCATGTTCACCCCTGACCTCTCGGGCGGCCACGCCATCTCCAGGCCAGGGCCCCTCCCACTTCCCTGTGCCCACCAATCCCCTGCAGGTCTGGGGTGGGGCCCGAGAGTGTGCGCTCCTCACGTGCTCCCAGACGATGCCCATGCTGCTGGACCCCTGACCACACTTGAGGTAGCAAGAGCCTGGGCTTGAGTGGACTCTCCCATCCCCCTTAGCTTGTATGTATTCCCATCCCCGCTCTCTTGCTGGAACTCATCAGGGCCTGGCATTTAGCTGCCACACATTTCGGTTCCTTGAGATGGAGTGATTAAAAACAGTGACTGCAGTGGGGTGTGAGGCAGAAAAGGAACTTCTGGGCTCTGTTTCCAGCTTGGCATTGGCCCTTTTCTTCCTTATACACCTCTTGGCAAAACTATCTAAACCAATTTATCTCAAAGGAGTCAGGCTGGAGCAGCAGGCTCTGAAAGTGTCCGCTATTTACCGGCCTCCATGGGGAGGGGCTGCCATGCGCGAGCACAGACGCTGATGTGCTGAGCGGAGAGGCTCGCTGCAGGCGGGAGCGCAAGAACCAGTGACTCCTCTGCTCAGAACCTTCCCGGGGCTCCCACATCACTCAGAGAAAACCCAAAGCCTTAACCATGACCCATGAGGCCCCATGCCATCTGGCCCTGCCACCCCTCTGCCCTCACCAGGCTTCTGCCCTGGAAGTCCCCTCCCTGGAACACACTCCACCAACTTAGCTCTTATCTCAGATGCTGCCTTCCCATCAGAGGCCTTCCCCGGCCACCCATTTAAACAAGCCCCACCCCCACCCCACCCCAAAGCACTTTTCCTTCTTCCCCTCTTTATTCTTCTCATACCACTTACCACCATCTGACATCCTGTACATTTTACTTCATGATTTTATCTATCTGTCTCCCTGCCCCTTCCCTACTAGAATGTGGGTGTCATAAGGGCAGGGATGTTTGTCTGATGTGATCACTGGCAGATCCCCAGTGCCTAAAACAGTGACTAGCACATTGGCAAGTACTCAGTTTTTGTGGAATGAATGAATAAGTGAATGAATGAAGGGCCTGCCTACTAAGGCGTCAGGCTCTGTGGCTAGCCCTGGGAGTCTTTAGACTCCTTTGAATCTCATAACAACCCCTACACGGTAAGTCTTTTAATCCTCATTCTAGGATGAAACTACTGAGGCCCCGAGTGGTTAAGTAATTTGACCAAGGTCACAGCGTTAGGAAGTGGCAGGTCCAGGACTCAGGCACTGGTCTGGCTGGTTCCAAAGACTGTGCCCTTTTCTGCCTGTGGTTGCCTTCAAGGTAACTGTCTTAGTATGATAAACATGACATTAACTCGCTGTCCTTATTCTAAACAGCAAATATTTTAGCTTAGGGATTTTGCCAAATCTGCCCAAAACTTGAGGTCTAGTGCACCCAGGTGGGTCTGGTGCCCCCAAAGCCAGGAGGACGTCCCACTGCCAGTCAGGGGAGCCCCCATCAGCCAAAGAAAGGGAAAGACCCTCCTACAAGCACTTCTCTGAACCCCAAAGGAAAGCCACAATAATTCTGTTTTGTTTCATCCTTTTTCTTTTTTTTTTTTTATCTTCCTGAGCAATCTCTTTGACCTTTTCTAGTCTGTGTGACCTTTGGCCATCAACGGCTGCTGTTTACCATGTGGGTTCTGGGGCAAAAGTCTCTCTCTCATGAGTTTCCCCAAACCAAACTTGCACATAGACCCATGGACCACTGTGCCCCGTACAACCTGCTCCCCCCGCAAGCCCCATTAATGACTGTGGCTTAGATTCTAGGGACCAAGCCTTGGAAAGGGAGCCAAGCCTAGAGGGGCCGTGAAGGTAAGACCGGCTCATGCCACTGAAAGCCCATCTACCCTCTCATTCCAGAGACCACCATAGTTTGAGTTACCCCACCTCTCCTACCCATCATTCTCAGTCACATGATCTTGTTTGTTTTCTTCAAATCACTTCTCACTATCTGAAGCTACCTTGTTTACTATGTCCATATTTGCTTACCATCTGTCTCCTCAGAGGAGGTACGCACATGACGGTAGAAGCTTGGTCAGTGCTATTCACCACTGTTGATGCCCGACACGTGTGGGCATGCAAATACTGGTTGAATGAGTAAATAAAGCAGGAAACAAGTGGGTTCTGAAGGGAAAAACCAGGGGGCTCACAAATGAACTTATTTAATCCTAAGATCAACGAAGGTATTATATGCCCTGAAGGTATAATACGCCCTGAAGGTATTATATGCCCACACAGCCGGGAAGTGGCAAAGTAGACCCAGGATTGTCGAGCTCTGAAGAAACAAGAAAACTTTGCAGGTACGGGGAAGAGACGCAAGAGGCCAAGCTCATGACCCTTACAGGGACAGCAAGGTCAGGCTGCCACTGGGGCCCAGGGGACTGAACACCTTTTCCTCAAACGCTCGCGTAACTGAGAAGAGTCAACACGTTCCACATGCTGAGCCCAGGTAGGTCTGTGCTTCCTCCATGCCCCTGCTATGATCATGGCACCTGCATCTGCCCAGGAAATACCGGCCCAAAGCAAGGTACCACAGTTGAGAGTGCACAAAACCAAGTTCTTATTTTGAGGCTCTGATACTATAAAAGGCACAAATATAAACCATTCCTGAAGAGGACACACGACATCCCTCTCCATTTCTGGGTAGTTTGAGGCGAGAAGGTTGAAAACAGTGTGGCGGTCCTTTCTCAGAACAGTGTCATTTATTCATTCTTTCATTCATTCATTTGTTCAGCCAACATGTGCTCACCCAGCCTCAGGAAGCCTGAGATGAAATGTGACAAAACCTCTGCCCTCTCGCCAGTGCATTGGTGCCTGCGGTTTTGGCGGGCACTAAAAGACAAGCAAATATTAAGGATACTTGCTTCCAAAACAAATAAGGACACGTGGAGCTATGCTCTGAAATGGCATTTTGGATGCAATTTTGATTCCACTGGGTATGAGAACCAGTTGAGTCAACCGGGTCACAGACTAACTCCAGGCACTAGGTTCCTACTCCTTGGATCTCTCTGACCCCCTCTTCCTCTAGGCCCCAAGCCCCTCACACACCCAACTCCATTTCCCAACATTCTTCAACCACATTGCCACCTCGCTCCACAATATTCTCCCTCCTGACTCCCCTGACTCTATTTCCCCCATATTCCCAAACCCGACCTCCCTAGATCCACAGCTTCGACATCCTACCCTCTGGATCCCGGGACACATCTCAACCTGATTTCCACCACCACCCCACACACACCCCAAGCCTGGGCTTCCACCTGGAGCCCCTTGAACGCCATCTGTTTACAGAGCATATTTCCCAGGTGTCTCTGCTCACCACCCCCATTCGCAGGACCCCCGTAAATACATCATGACTCCGAGTACACCACACACACACCCTGGAACCCCATACATCCACACCCGAGTCTTGAGGACGCACCCTCCCCCCATCACCTCCAACTTCTCAGAGCCCCTAGGCCGGCCCCTGACCCCCTGGGACCCCAGTACAGCAGCCAACTCCGAGACACCCACCCCCTGACTCCGCAGAAGCCCGCCCTGCACGCCGGAACTCTGGGACGCCCGGCACAAGCCCTCGGCCGCCGGAGGCCCCCACCGCGCCGCTCCGCGGACCCCGGGTTCCCGAGGCCCTGGCCCCGCCGCGCACATCTCCGGGCGCAGCGCCCTCGTGACCCGGCCGCGCCCCTGCCCGCGCCCCGCCGCGCCTCGGGGGCCCGGCCCGGTGATCGGCGGAGGCCGCGGCGCCTCCAGCAGCCCAGGCCGGAGCGCCCGGCGCGTACCGTTGGCGATGAGCTTGGCCGACAGCTGCTTGACGAGCTCGGGGATCCGCTCCCACTGGCACTCGGAGCGGCAGCGCTCGATCTCCGTCTCCAGCCGCGAGCCCGCCTTCTTGGTCGCCATCGCGGCCTGGCCGGGCCCGGCCAGCCCCCCCGCAGGCCGCGCCGCCGCCGCCGCCGCCGCCGCCGCCCGGGCGCCCCCGTCTCCGCCTCCCGCTGCCGCCGCGGGCTCGGGCTCCGGCTCCCGGCTCCGCGGCGTAACGGGAGCGCCGGCTGGGGAAGGGGCGGGGAGGCGGGCGGCGGCGGCTGGCGCGGCGGGGCCCAGGGCGCCGCGAGGAGCGGCCCCTACCGGCCAGGGCCGGAGCCGCAGCACGGGCCCGGGTCGGGGCCGGGGCCGGGGCCGCGGGGGCCGGGGGCCGGGGGGAGGGGGAGGCGCGAGGAGGGGCGAGGTGCGGCGGAGGCCGGGTCGGGGAAGGAGGCCCGGGAACGGGACCTGGAGGGGGGCTGGGGCTGGGGTCCAGATTCGAGGGGGAAGGCGTGGAAGAGAGAGGTGAGGAAAAGCAGGGGCTGTGGTGGTAGGGGTCTGGCAGAATGGGGGCGTGGAGGAGGGAGACCCGGGAGGAAGGGAGGGAGGGAGGCAGAGACTGGGAGCCCCACAGACCCTCAGGAATAGGGCCTAGAAAGGGCAGTGACCCTGGGGACGGTCACGGGCCAGGCCGGACTAGTGGGCCTGGGGTATGAGGTGGGTGTGACGGGGAGGCCTGCCTGAGCTTGCCCTGCCATCTCAGGTTTCTGGGAGATCCCTCTGGGCCTGGCTTGGCCTGTGCCCCTTAGCAGGCCCCCTCTGCCCCAGGCAGCCTTCGCCCCACCCAGTTCGAGGTGGGTGGAGACTCATCCCTCACAGGCAGGCTCAGCACCTGCCCAGGGCTCCATCAATGTCTGTTGAGGCGAGTTGGATTGAACCGGGCAAGGACTGCCAGCTCAGATGTCGGCTACCTTGCCCTCTGAGGAGGATGCAGAGTCCGCAGGGGGGTTTCCTTGTCTTGGCCTTGCAGACAGAGCTGAGGGCAGGCGTCCCAACTGTGCCTTCTTTCAGTTATCCGATGACTATGTAGTCATCACCTACTATGGCTCGGTCCTGTTGCAGGTGCTGGGAATACAGCAGGAAACTAACAAAATACCTGCCTTGGTTACATTCCAGGCAGGGGAATAAATAAGCAAAATAAAGTAGTAAATCAGAAGGTAAAAATGGTTAGCTGAAGAAACAGAGCAGGGTCCAATGAGGAGAGTAAAGAACTGACAGGGTGGTAAGAGACGGCCTCCTTGAAGTGACATTGGACAAAGACTTGAAGAAGGTGAGAGAGAACATCTCTGGGCAGAGGGTACTGCAACCAAGTACAAAGGCCCTGGAGCATATTTAATAAGCTGGGGGAACAGGAAAGAGACCCAAGTGGCTGGGGTAGAGGAAGGGAGGGGGTCGAAGCAGGAGAGTTCAGAGGTGGGAGTCAGAGCTGAGTTCATGTTGGGCCTGCGGACCATTATGGAGACTTTGGCTTTTCCTCTGGTGAAATGGGGCATCCGTGCAGAACTTTTAATGTACGTCATGACGTGACCTACATTTTAGGAATACCACTGTGGCTGCAGGGCTGAGAACACTGCCAGTAGTTCAGGAGGGAGATGGTGGTGGATGGACCAGGGTGATAGCTGTGGCAGTGGTGAGAGGGTTGGATTCTGGATACCGCATTTGAGGATGGAGCTGACAGTCTGGAATGTCAGGTATGAGGAAGAACCAAGTCATAGTCAACATCATCCCTTCTAGGGGTGCCTTACTCTAGCTTTCCAGGAGTTCTTACCTGCAGTTTCGTCTCGCATCCCCTCAGCAGCCCCGGGGCTGTTCTTGGGAAGAAAAGACATGGACCCCAGTCAATCAAGGGTGAAGCTGAAACTCAGATATCCAGAGATGTGAGGAAGGAAGATCCGGAGATGCCTTCTGATGTGACCGGCATAACCTCAGGCACCTGCAAGGACCTATGAGGTGATGAAGGTTGGCCTGATGAGCCTCAGATGCTATGGACAGCTCGAGGGGAAATACAATGTCAAAGTTTCAACAGAGGTCCCTTTGGGGGCTTGGATTCTTTAGTTTCACCAAGAAGAAATAGGAAGAGAAGTAGAAGGAGTCTCCACAGGAGGTATTTCCACCACCATCCTCCACCCTGAACGCTCATATTCTCCTCTTAGCATGGAGGTCTGTTTCTCCAGATGCTTGCACAGGAAGTTCTCTCCCCTCTGGTCCAGGAGGGAAATTCCTGTGCATTCTTTGAGACCCAAGCCAAGGGTCACCAAGAAGCCGTGCTCAACATCTGACAGATCCTGTGTGATCCCACAATAGTTGCTCTTTCCCTCTGTGATAGGGCTTCTTATAACAAACTCTGTCATATAATGACTGATGTTTATACTGCCTCAGTTGCCACACTGTAAGGTATATTATTGGTGTCCATCTCTGTGCTCCCCCGCCAGCTGATAAGTTCCAGAGACAAGGCCTGTGTCTTCATGAGGGCAGAGCAGACCTTGACCCTTGACTCAGCATGTGCTGCCTGGGCAGTGGCATTAATAGTTCCTGCCTTCCCCGCCGACAGTTCCTCAGCTATAATACCTACCCTGTAGAATTGATTGTGAATTAAATGAGGAAATACAGGTAAGGCACTTAGAAGGCTGTTGATAGACCATAAGAGTGCAATAAACGTGCCCTGACATTCCGTGTCTCTGTACCCCTTGCACCCAGTGTAGGGTCTGGCACTGTGTAGGAGCTTGAATGAAAGAGTGAATGAATGAATGAATGAATGAATGGACGAGGCTGGAGACCTCCAAGGTCGAGAATCAGCCTGCAAATGTATTCCTTCAGGATTTAACACAACAATAATAAGTGACTACATTTGAGGCTTCCACCTTCACAGCAGGCCGTCCTGGAAGTGACTGACACCCACCAGCGTACCCTTCTGACCATCTGCCTGAGCGCTGAGTTTGCTGGGATATGGGGGTTGGGAGCAGAAGCTGATAAACATTGTCAGCCTGACAGTTGGGCTCCTTGGTCTCTGGGCTCATTCCCACATCTGCGATGTTTTCTGATCTTCATCCGTTGCCCGGGCTGCTCTGGCAGCTGCCACAGCAACCCTGGAGATATACAGGTGATCACAGGGGGAGAACGTCCCCAAATGGTTTTCCAGGTGAGTTTACCTGCAGGCGGCACTCAGGGAACCTCAGTAGTAGGAAGTCGTTGGTGCTAATAATAGTAATTAAGCCGACATCTTTTTTCCAGGCATTGCTGTTACAGGTTTGACAAGGATGTGAAAAATCACAGCCTGTAGGCCGAATCCAGCCTTGAGGCCTGGCAATGGCTGGCAGGAAAGGAGCTAAGTGGAAGATGGCTCAGGAAGTCTGACTCCAGGATAATTCCTGCAGGAGAGCTGTCTTGCCAGGAGCCATGGAGACGGGCTAAACGTTCAGAGCAAAGGTCAATGCAAATGGGATGCCTCGGTGGTCTGGAAACGTCCCCGTCCTCTTCCCCCAAAAGCCTGGGCCCCCTGGACAACTAGAATAAGGCAAACAAACTATACTTCAATTAAAACAAAAAACAAAAAACACACCCACAACTACAAGAGGTGGGCAAGAGGTAAGGCAGGTAGGGCAAGAGGTAAGCAGAGGGGAGAGGGCTTGAGAAAGAAGACAGGCTGGGGAGGGGCGGGGGAGTCCCAGGGAAAGAAAGAGACTCGAGTGAGCAGGGGCCGGGCCTTTACCCTTGTGCCTCCCTCAGCCTGGAAGACCCTTCCCACATACCCACGTGGTCCCCTCTCTTCATTTAGGTCCCTGACCCAAGGCCACCTCCTTAGAGAGACCTTCCCGACCACCCTATCCAAACCCACTCCCTGCCCTTCCCTCCACTCCCTGTCCCCTTACTCAGCTCTAGGCTTCTGCTTGTCACCACCTGATTCATATTTATTAATTTAGTGTTTGCCTCCCTCACTAGAATGTCAGCTCCACGAGGGCAGGGATTTTTGTGTGGTCTCGTTCACTGCTGCATCCCCAGCGCTGAGAATGGTGCCTGACACGTCGTAGGTGCATAGTAAATATTTGTTGAACGGCTGAACGAGTAGAAGGAAAGCGGTGGGGCTGGAGTTGTACTCCAGGCAGACAGGCCCGCAGTCGAGTGCAAATCAGCTTGCGGAAGCGTATGGGTCAGGTTTTAGGGGGAGATGGAAATCCGGAGAGAGGAGATGTCAAGGGGCCTCAGTGTGCTGACAGAATAACCGCTGCTAACCTTTGACCTCACTATGCCAGGCAGCAGCCCTGTCATCTGGCTGCCTGAGCGGGGAGACTCCCCAGAGCCTGGGGGGGCCGTGAGCCACGTGTGCTCGGTGAGCCCTATGGGCGGGCACTACAGCAGCGCGTGTGACGAACTGGGGGACAAGCCACAGTGCTCGTGCTTGAGTCATGATAGCTGCAGTGCCTTTGGATGTCTTTAATTATGTTTTTGACACCTACAAAAACAGATAATCAAGAGGCACCTATATAATAAAATAATAAAGTGAACACCAGGGACCCAACTGACCATCTCAGAGTTAACCACAAGTTTGATTTTTGTGTTGATTACATCCTTATTTTGTTTTTTAAGTAGTTTTAGCACCACACATTTCCTGCCACCCCTAGTAATATGAGTGTCACGTGTAGCCGTAGGGGCTCCTTAGCGTCGTGCTTTCTGAAGTGGCGTCCTGTCCTGTAATTTGCTTTGTTGCTCATTACGCCCCACGATTTGTCCTTGTTATGCGTAGCTGTGGTTCCTTCCTTTTCTATAGCGTGTAATGCTCCATGGCATGGAGTATATTATCCACCCCCCAGGTTTATCACACTTCAGTGCCCAGGTGTGCTTTTATGAACAAGGCTGCGGGTTATAAAACTGCATCGCTGCCACTGTGTTGAGCAGGGTTTCTGAGGATGACTCAAGATGGCTCTGTGCCCCTCTCCCCCTTAAAATACCCCGGGGTCCCCTGACTTTCTTCCCAGGGTCACCTGCTGCTGCCTGGAGCCATGGTTCCCACTGTAGGAACAAACCAGTGGGATCCTTGCTGAGCAACCCCACTGCAGGCACCGAGCTGGTGTTTCCAGTTAACCATCTGTTACCATTTGAGAGGGACAGCCAGGTGTAGGAGGCTGGCTGGCTGGCTGGCTGCTCAAGGAGGGAACCAG